CTGTACCAGGTAATTGACTTGGGTGGAGAGCCGATCACAGGCAGTCAGTACTTTGGAAACGGACGAGTGACAGAATTCAAATACGGCGCAAAACTGGGGACAGTGATCCGCAAGTGGAATGGAGAAAAGATGGCCTACTTAAAGTAAGGATGGACATCCTGTGGCTTATTTGGGATATGCTGGGTACACCAGTTGACAGAGTAGCTTCAAGTCTTTGTGGTTTTGACTAGGAACTGGGGAGAAGGCTGGGGCTTTGTGCCTTCTGACAGAGCTCTGGTCTTTGTGGATAATCACGACAACCAGCGGGGGCATGGGGCCGGTGGAGCTTCCATTCTGACCTTCTGGGACTCCAGGTAAGGCGGTGCTCTTCTCTGGGTGATGCTTCTTCCTTTTGCTGGTTTGTCTGTCTGTTCTCTGGCACGGTTTCTCTTTCCACATCTCACTACTCTTTTTGTCTAACAAACAGACTTTATAAAATGGCTGTTGGCTTCATGCTTGCTCATCCGTATGGGTTCACGCGTGTGATGTCAAGTTATCGCTGGTCAAGATATTTCGTAGATGGAAAGGTAAGCTTGGAATGCTGAAGATACATTCGTGGTGAGTAAGGATCAGAACAGGGCCAGAGAACCAGTCCAGTGCATTGAAATTTGTGAAGTGATTTCTATATTCGGTGTTGGACCTAGCAGGTGGAAATTTGATGCTCCATCTAGCTTGTCTCTGCAGATAGGCACTCTGCATTTTCAGTAAGAAGCTTGAAACTTCTCCTTTCGATGACAGGACGTCAATGACTGGATGGGACCACCAAGTGAGTCGGATGGTTCCATAAAGCGTGTTACAATCAATGCAGACACTACCTGTGGCAATGACTGGGTTTGTGAACATCGCTGGCGCCAGATAAGGTAGGACACTGTGGAGAATAAGTAAAAACAGATGCTTTTGCTTGATGATCCTTGTGGCTGTAGAGCTCTTGCAGCCACAGTGACAGCTGTTCCTTGCATTCTCAGGAACATGGTTGTCTTCCGTAATGTGGTGGATGGTGAGCCTTTCTCCAACTGGTGGGACAATGACAGCAATCAAGTAGCTTTTGGCCGTGGTAGCAAAGGCTTCATCGTTTTCAATAATGATGACTGGTAAGTCAGAGGGAGAGACTGTATCCCGGAGAGAAGTATAGCATCCCTCATCAGCAGTACTGATGAGAAGGGGAATGTCCTCTTCTCCTTCTGAGAGTGATCGCTACAGCCTGAGCGAGAGTCGTGCAGTTACGTGCCAGGCCTAGAGACCCAAAATGGGAGCGTAGGGAGCGAAGCAGGGATAGGATCAGAAAGCTCACACTTTACATTGCCCTTCAAAGCAAGGGAGTAGCATCGGGTTCAAAAATGTGAAATAGCTGTTTTAAAACCAGCGTTTGCTTTCTTTCACATAGGCACCTGAACATTGATTTGCAAACCAGACTGCCTGCTGGTACCTACTGTGACGTTATTTCTGGACAAAAGGAGGGCAACAGCTGTACCGGAAAACAGGTGTATGTTTCTAGTGATGGAATGGCTAATTTTGACATTAGTAACAGTGCTGAAGACCCATTCGTTGCAATTCACGTTGATGCCAAGTTGTAAGTCAAGAGAAATGTCCTTCTCCATTTGGTCTGTTCATTACTGTTTCCACCATGTGTGATTCCCTGGTATTTGCACACGAGTGATTCTGTGTACCTAGTGAATAATAAATGGCAATCAAATTGAAGAGTAATTTTTTTTCCCTTAATGAATTGGATTGTAACTTTATCACGTCGTAACTAGTGGCAATGCAGTGGTAGGTTTTAAGGGAACGCAGAACTCCATTTCCCAGGTCACAGAAACAGGGGAGAAAATACGCCAACGCCTGGGTAAGTTAAAATGAGGTACTTCCAATGCCGACACGTAACACACACATCTGTATCGCGGAGCGGCTGCATTTGGTCAGTCCCCTACGGGTGGTGCCGACGCACACCAACAGTTTGTCTGTTGTGACAAACCAGAGCCGGTGTCTGGGTCAGCAGAGGGTGCTGGAGGTGCCATTGTCCCCCTTGCTCACGGTGGCCAGCACCACCTTGCTGAGGGCAGGGCCCTGCTGGCTCAACGCAGCTCCTGCATGTGCTCCTTGGAGCGATGTCGAAGATGGGGAGACGCATCTGGCAGGATGTTAATAGCCATTGCAAACCTGTTCTTTGCTACCAGGGTCTGGTCAGGGAGCCCTCCTTCCCCTTTGAAA